AACAAATAAAAGGGTGGTATTTACATGACGTCTTTGCAAAGATTCTAAAATGCAGACGTGAAGAGGTGAGTTTTTATGTCCCTCTTGAACTTGGCCAGGGTATTTGACTTCCTAATAGCAGATGGTAAGCTATTCCACAACTCCGACCGCAGTGATCTTGACGGCTGATTCAGGGTAACAAGCTCCTGTAGGTACTGAGGAGCTGTTCTATTCAGTGCCTTGTATGTGAATACCAGAATTTTGTACTGCGATCTGTATCGTACTGGTAACCAGTGCAACGAATAAAGCGCAGGCGTGATGTGCTCTCTCTTTCGAGTACGAGTAACTAGCTGTGCTACAGTGTTCTGGACCCTCTGCAGAAGACTAGTTAGTTTGTCAGATATAACACAGAGCAGGGCGTTACCATAATCCAACCGAGAGGTAACAAGTGAATGCACCAAAATCTTGCATACATCTGCAGTTAGAAACTGCCGAATACAGCTGATGTTCCTGATCTGGTAGTAACAGGATTTGGCAATATCGTTTACTTGTTTCTCCATGTTCAGAGAACTGTCAAAGAATACACCTAGGTTTTTAACAGCTGGAACAGTCTCAATAGTTCTGACACCAACATTGAGCTAGAGAGCCTTTGTTTGCTGACACTTTGGGAAAAAGACGATTAGTTCCGTCTTTTCCTGATTAAGTTTAAGCATGTTGGCGTTCATCCAGATACTGATATCTGTCAGACAAGCTTCCAGACTTTCTTAGTATTCCTGGAGATGATGATACAAATATAGAAGCTACTGACATAGTAAATGAATAATATTTAAATCAATAAAGTATTGGGGGTAAAATTCCCCTGGAATAAAAAGCCAAAATTGAACGAAATATGTAATACAGATGATATGCATGGATTACTGCAGAGAAGCGACTTGCCTCTAAGTATTCCTGGAGATGATGATTAATATATATAGAAGCTACTGACATAGTAAATGAATAATATTTAAATTATTTAAATTAAAGTATTGGGGGTAAAATTCCCATGGAATTAAAAGCCTGGAATTAAAACCTGAGTTAAAGAATAAATTACAAAAAGTGAGTAGCATACATTCTTGTAATAAGCATCACAAAGAAAAGATACAAAATGTACATGAACATTTAAGTGCATTTTTTAACATTATGAATTCATGACTAAACAAAACATACACTAAACAAGTCATGTATGTAGAAGTACATATAGTTGTATACAAACTATAATTTAACATTTAACAAGTCAAATTATCATTTTATATACAACTAAAACACGATAAACAGTTATCTGTTTATTACACATGTTAGCAAAAACATGAATAAGATACACTAAGAAGTACATGTAACCATTATTAACATTTGGCATATCAGGGGCTACTCACTCTTCTTGCTTAACATACCCTTAATACAACTTCAAATTATAATTAAACATCAATTCTCCAAAAAGAAACCTAGAGAAGAGGCTTGACTCTACCGAACTCCAGAGAAGCAACTTGCCTCTTAAGGTTTTATGGAGAAGATGAGAAATAGAATACTCTTAACCTAAAGAAGAAGCTTGACTCTACTGAACTGCAGAGAAGCGACTTGACTCTAAAACTTGAAATCGAATAGACCTAGAGAAGAAGCTTGACTCTACTTAACTGCAGAGAAGCGACTTGACTCTAAGACTGGAAATCGAATAGACCTAGAGAAGAAGCTTGACTCTACTGAGCTGCAGAGAAGCGACTTGACTCTAAATATAAGTTTGCGAATAAGCCCCATTATGCTTTTCACTTGTGAGCGCCCTTTAGAAATAATTTCTACAGTGGCCAAATTGTCATAATGGAACAAGATACGTTTCTCATGCCACTGATGGCCCCACAAAACACAAGCCATCATCACTATGGGGTAAAGTTCAAAAAGGGTCATAGATGGGTCTTATTTCTTAAGACTGGGAGGGAAGACACCCTTAAACCACTTGTTCAAGAATATACCTCCGAACGATTCAGGTGTAGCATCAATGAACAAATGAAGTCAGCGGCAGCTGTAAATGGTCGTCCAAGAAGAAAGATACTAGTCCAATTACTCAGGAATAGGGACCACATGTTGAAAAATACTGCATGGTTGCTGTGTGGCACCCTGTTAGATTTGTCAATTTATTTTAATTCTTTATATTCCTAAAGATTCCGTAAAATATAAAGAGTCTAATTAGTATAGCTTGTATAATGTTGTGTTGTTTATTTTAATCCATGATCCGTGCTCCGCAATCGCTGTCGCCTAGTCCCGTGTGTTACTTTCGTTTTGAATGGAATGTATGCTAGTGTGACGTAACTGTGAATGGTGTATACCTGTTTGACCAATGACAAACTGACCTCTGACACCTGTCGCATTGCGCGATATATTTCCCGCATTAAGTGTGGGAACAAATGCAGGGGAAATAAATTACCCACTATACAAAGATATATGGTACTCGTTCGTTTTCTGAAAAAGAACCCAAACACCACAATAGCGCCATCTTAGTATGCAGAATTGACGATATCATAAAGCCCTGGAAGTAGCCCGATAGCCTGGAACCTGCCTGGTATGAACCAAGGACTTGAGTAAGACTCGACGTTCATTTAAACCGAACGCGTCGCGTTCGGGACACCTCGAATGTGATTAATCTTCAACAAGTAAAGATACACACGTGATGTTGTTGTGACAGTGTCGACATTCTTCGCTGTTCAGGGAGCCTGTAGGACGGATTTCATCTGGAAACTTCGAAAGTGCATGCTGGTGATGCGTTTGTTTCTCAACTCATGTATGCAGTCTCTAAGGTGCACTCTGCTTGAGGTTGATTAGGGATCCTCGATTCCGTGCCGAGTTGATGTTCGCTGCCGGCCGCTGCTGCAGGAGAAACTTAATGCCGGGAAGAATTGTCACGGAACTCACCGTTGTGGCGTCGCTAGTAACGGAATCACTTAATCCCCTTTCCAGTCTGACATAACTGTCCTGTAATACTAGTGTTGACACACTCTCCGCCAAACTAGTGACGATGTCGACCAACGTTTGCGTATGCGAACCATCCTCACGATTCGAAGTAACCTGGTCGCCATCTTGTCGCACGGAATTGTGGGATCGCGCACCTCTTGACCTCGAGTCTCTCAAATTTTTCACCAAACCCGTTCGTTTCTCGTTGGCCCTGAACGGTACCGTCAATTCTCCTCGGAAACGAGCTATTCGGATCGTACGGAACAACTCTAGAATTCCTACGTTTAGACCCCGTGTCTTAAAACTATTGTCTCACAATATTGTCGATAGGCCTAAATATTAGCGTTATATAGCCTAAGGTATAGGTTGGCACGGTCAAGTGCACGTACAATGTCAAGTTCACACCGATAAGTTATTGTCTTGTCACATCCTCACATCGTTAATTCGGGTAGTAACAACAAAGCCAGAAGGCACTCCAATGAGCATAATCAAAATCATCAACCTTCATATCACACAAATAAATAACACATTTTCTATGAAGTCCTGATTACGGCATCAACACTTTTCCATATTTTCATCAAAATAAATCTTTAGAAACCAAGTTACTACCAAGAAATGGAAAGTTCACGAATGGAAAGTTGAAATCGTCCCACGTATCGTACAGTTTATAAGTAAGCCGTCCCTGTTGATCATGTTGTAAGTAAAGATCATGAGACACGACTGAAGACGAGGGTCTGCAGTGTCCTTGATAACAGGTTTGAACTTAGCATTTATCAAATATGTGTGTAATGGTTTGATGCTGTCTTTACTCAACTACCGACTTTTAACACAGATATCTTAAAGCGGATATTTGATTTATCATCACAGTCTGAAGATTTTAATATCCTTCTCAAGGTTTCCATCCTCAAAACTGTAACGAAATATGACATTATGCATTTATGAATACGTTGTTTTTCTTTGACGAAAACTTGCCTCCCATTTCTATGGAATCATAATCTATATTTGATAGCTGAATATATGAATGGGTATTTGATTAACAGATAATATCAATGAGATTTTCATGTCGATTAATTTAGAGTTTTTGTATGATTTTTTATTATTTCAGTTTAGCAGCTAGTTAGATATCACCGAAGTTCAGAACATATTATTTCAATCTGATAAACATCGTATCCTATTTCATACGCCAGTGAACCACCAAAGGTAATCCACCAATAGTATATTACCGATTAATTTCCCCAAAAATGTTGTAAACGTTGTATTAACAGACTAAATTGGATCAGCTTCGTTTTACCATTATAGCATAGATTAATTTCTAAATATCGAGACTTGATATCA